CACCGTGTGGGGCGGGTTGGATGGGGGGATGCACAGGAGAACGTGGGGGCGGGTCATGCAGTGTTAGCAAGATACGTGGATCGTGTTCATGCTGGTTCCCACAAGCATCAGCTGTCTAGGCTGGTGGGGGGCAGGGAGACAGTGCCTGCCAGCTCTTCCTTTCTGGAGAAGCCTCCTAGAGGCCCCTGTCCCTCCAGGGCACGTTCTGAGATGCATAAATAAATCTATACCTCGGTAAATAAATCTGCCATATGCCTTGGGCGCTTTCCAGACTGCTGCTTCTATGCGTATCTTGGCCGGGTTGTTTATTGTGCTGGCCCTTTACGGACGGGGCCTCAGGCTCCCGGTGCACTCTGGCTCTCCCTGGCTCTCCTGGAGCTCAGCCCACTGATTTTTAAAGTATTCAGAGGTAAGCCCTGCTGATTGTAAAAGCTCATGAAATTGAGCCTCACTGGTTTTCAGATCCAAATACTTCGGGTACTCATCTTCCCAGTTTGGGTTCCCCGTGCCTGGGGTGCCTGGTATAGAGTCTGATGCTCTCGCTTCTCCATGCTTGTGCTGTCCCTTCCGTTTGTGGGTGACTCACCAGCGTGCTGGGGTCCCAGCCATGTTCCTGCCCTTCCTATCCTTTTCGGCGTGGCCTCCTCTGTATGATTAACTGTGGGAAGTCTGTTCTGCTGGTCTTCAGGTCGTTTTCTGTGTGAGCAGCACTCCTGTGGCTGTTATCTCCGTGTGTCTGTGGGATGCGGTGAGCTTCGAATCCTCCAACTCTGCCATCTTCCCAGAATTCTACATCTCTTTATGTTGTCTTTCCATTACAGTTTTTAACACTTTGGTCCTTTAACCTGTATACTAAAGATAAGTGGCTAACACACCACCTTGTTACAATATTAACATGTTCAGAATCTCATTATATACTTACCTTTACTAGTGTGTTATATATTTTCATGTTTTCTTTTTACACTAATTAGAGAACTTTTATTTCAGCTTGAAGAACTCCTTGTAGCATTTCTTGTAAGGCAAGTCTAGTGGTGATAAACCCCCTCAACTTTTAATTGGTTGGGAAAGTCTGTCTTGCCTTCATTTCTAAAAGACAGATTTACTGATAAAGTGTTCCTGGTTGGCAGTTTTTTCTTACAGCACCTTGAATATCTCACTCCCTCCTGACCTCTGAGGTTTCTGCTGAGAAATCCACTGTCCACCTAAGGGTGATCCTTTGTATGAGAGGTTTGTTTTCTCTCCTCCTGCTTTTAAAATTATCTTCTTTGTCTTCGATTTTAGATAGTTTTATTATAATGGCTGCCGAGAAGATCATTTTAGATTGAAAGTTTGGGGTGACTTAGCTTTGTGAACTCAAATATCCAAATCTTTCCCTAGGTTTGAGGAGTTCTCAGCCATGTAGTCTTTTTTAAGATTTTCCTTCTCTTCTCTTCCCGGGACTCCAGCAATGCATCAGTTGTTTCTCCTAATGGTGCCCCAGGCTGTGGCCATTCCTTTTTTATTCTTTTTTTTCTTCTTGCTTTTTTGACCTGGGTAATTTCAAATGACTTGCCTTTGAGTTCATTGACTCTTTCTTCTGTTTTGTCCAGTCTACTGTTAGAGCTCTTTTGTAAATTCTTCAGTGTAGTCATTGTATTCCTCAGCTCCAAATTTTCTCTCTCTGTGTGTGGGAGCGCACACGCATGGGGCGGGGGGGGGGGGTAGTGTGAGTGTGGGTATGTTTTAATGGTTTCTATCTATCGAACTTCTTGCTTTGCTCTTCTTTTGTTTTTCTGATTTCATTCAGTTGTTGACCTTTGTTCTCTTACAGCTCTCTGGTCCTCTTTAGAAACATTATTTTGAATTCCTTTTTACAGTATTTATGTGTCTCCATTTTGGGGGGACCCATTACTGGAATTTGCTGTGTTCTTTTGGTGGTGTCATGATTCCTTGATTTTTCATGTTCCCTTTGGCCTCACATAAGTGTCTGCGTATTTGAAGAAGCAGTCACCTCTTCCAAACTTGGGAAGACTGACTTTGCTCAGGAAAACCTTCACCCGTGGGTGGAGCTTGCAGTGTCCCCCAGGTCTAGTGACGTAGGGCACCTCAGGGGCATGTGGCATCTTTGGGTTCGGGGGGCATGATGTCTCATTAGGTCAGGCCCCTGGGGTCCAGAACATCAACAACTGTGTGATACTTGGCAGGTGCTATGTAGTGTTCACAGCGGCCACAAGGGCTGTTAGCATTCCCTGCAGCTTCTCCAGGTCCAATGGCTAGGGACCTGAGCAGGAAGGGGTAGTGGCCCGAGCCAGGTATGTGCACGTATTTAGCTGTGGGGGCTGCTATAGATTTCCGTGTGCTGGTAGGGGACAGTTTTAGGCACACACAGAGTGTTGAGGGCCAGGGCCAGCAGCAAGGGCCAGGCTAAATGTGGGCGTGCAAGCAATTGTAGGAGTCCTGGCCATCTGTCTGTATCCCTGTGGCTGTCGTGCTTCACCACAGATAGGGGCACAGCAGCGGAGGCAGTAACAGTAGACAGGGCCAGATCGGGACTTACAAACAGCTTTGACCTTTGGGATGACTTCCCAAAGCTGCAGGGTCTTGCCACAGACATGCCCAAGGTAATGGAGCAGGTAATGGGAGTGCATAGGTGCCTCAAGGTGCACCTACGGAGGAGCCAGCCCTAAGCACCTGCAAAGGGGTGGAGTAAGCTGTGGTGCTCTAGGCTGCATCTTGCACTTGCACAGCCGCAGAGGCTGAAGCCAGCTGCTGGTACGGATGCCATTCCCTGCCAGCGGTGAGGACGGGGGTGGGAGAGGCCTCAGGCATCTGGGACCTGTAGATGCAGACACCTGTGGGGTAAAACCTCGGGAAATCTGCAGGGTCCTTGATGGCCACGCTGACCATTGGTTTCTTCTGCAGTGAAAGCTTCTAGGTCCCTGTAGAACCAGGTCACTGAGGAGCTTGGTTGCTCCCACTGTGTGGTCGATACTGGTGGTGCTTGCCTTTCTTCCGTGTTTCTGGCCATCTCTATACATCTCAGCTTTGATAGCGTCGGGGTGAGGTGAAACCTAAACAGGCCTTTCGTGCAGTACCCCAAAAGGTTGCAGAAGCTGGTCAGTTGCCCTGCTCTCCCTTTCCCGGGGAGGGGAACTCTACAGCTGGTGAGTTCTCTCTGGGCATGGAGCAGTGCCAGCCTGGCAGATGGGATGATTAGGATGAAATGAAGGATTCTTCCTTCCCTTTTTTGTACAGTTGCTCTCAAGTTTTTGTTCTACTTCCTCGAAGTTTCTTAAGTGGACTCTCGAGCTCTCCCAGAACTGTTTCTGCTTGTAGATAGCTGTCTGTTGATCTTCGTTGGGAGATGGAGGCTGGCTGCTTCTCCTGTACCATCTTGGTGACATCAGCCTCTTCTGTTCCTATAATGATCCCCTCCCAGTCTTTTTGTTTGGCTTTTATGATCTTTCCTTACCTTAAATGGCAGCTCCATTCAGCTTTCTTTCCTTGGCTCTCTTCTCATTCTTCAGTCTGTGCACCAACTTAAGAGAGGCAAGCACTGATGAAGATCCAACAGAATGCTGCTAATATCATCTTCCATGGAAATCAAGGTTGTTACTTTAACATCAACTGACACTGTTTCTCTGCAAGTTTACTTTTAATAAGCTTTTTAGTATTAATACTTAAGCCTTTCTCATATTATCAGTACATTTCTCCTTTTGCCTTTAAATTTTCCTTTCCAGACAGACAGGTAACTGACTCAGCGACCCACTTCTGTTCTTATTTCCTGTACCTCTGACAAGTAGCATAACACAGGGCAGACATACCAGCCCTGGAGCTAGGTATCTTTTTTATCAACCTATTTCTTTGTGAACACTTAGCACATTTGCCTATCAGGATTTATAGTACTTACTTTCATTTGCTTTCTAAAATCAGATTGATTGTATGGGGGTATCTGGGTGGCTCAGTCAGTTGAGCATCCAACTCTTGATTTCAACTCAGGTCATGATCCCCGGGTTGTGGGATCGAGACCTATACTGGGCTCCATACTGAGCATGGAGTCTGCTTAAGATTCTCTCTCTCTCTGCCCCTCCTCCCAGCTTGTACTCCCTCTGTCTCTAAAAGCACATTTTATTTATTTTTATTTCATTTTATTTATTTTAATTTTTTATTTTTTTCTTTCATAGTTTATTGTCAAGTTGATTTTCATAGAACACCCAGTGCTCATCCCAACAAGTGCCCTCCTCCATGCCCATCACCCTCTTTCCCCTCTCCCCTACCTCCATCAGCCATCAGTTTGTTCTCAGTATTCAAGAGTCTCTCATGGTAAAAACACATTTTAAAAAACTAGAATGAAATCAGGTTGAACATATGAACTATTGTTTTCATTGTATGGTCTCAGAAACTCACTGCATACATATTTATTGATTCCCAAAATATCTTCTTTTTGTTTCATACATAATAATGTACTATGCACTGTGCAGCAATCAGCAAATAAAAGAACTTAGTCCTGAGGCATTGACATTGAGAGATTATCTGATAAAGAAAATACAGATCTCGTTAAATGAAAACATCACTTTCTAAAAAACATGCAACTTAACATACAAATAAACGTCCCTTTTGGAAATTTTACATTGAAAGGCAGCTAATAAAGAATTTGCACTGCTAGTTGATGAGTTTTCGACATAAATTACAGCATGTAAGTACTCTAGCCTTTCTTAGGCAGAATGATCGTATCGCATTTTTAAAGATTGCTCATGCAATTTTGGCTATGTGAACTTGTAATATTATTAAGGCAGCATGCAGATTCAAGATTCTCAGCCTTTTGACATGTGAGAATCAGTCATTATATTTAATTATAGACTTAAGTAGCTTCTTAAACATTTAGCATTTAATTGTTTATGTATTTATAATGGAAGATAAGAATATTGAAAAACTTAGAAACATGTACATTGAAAGTGAAATATTCAAACTAATATTTAGCATGCTGTTTACTAACGTATGATTCCTCTTTCTCCCAACAGAAGTTTGTTTCACAATTACACCCAGGTAAAACATGTTTTAAAATGTTATATATCCTTCATATATCACTAACTGTATTATTTTCCTCTAATCCTTCATGTTACCCAGAAGGAGAATTTTCCAAGGTAATTTTTCAACAAAATCTGCTTAGAGCAGGGGTACTCTCCAGGATGTCCATGAGCTGTGCCCTTTCCCAACCACATATCTGTGTGAGGATAGATTTCCCCCACATACTTCCACCAAACAACATATGCCAACAGCTTGAATGTAGGAGCACAGATGATAATTCAGCTGTCTTCTATTAAGACAGGTAGTACAGACCTTTTGTAATGTAAAATGTCTGCTTTTCTTTGTTTTGGAAAATAGTTCTTTTTTATTATAATATATGTCCTGGGGACACCTGGAGTGGCTCAGTGGTTGGGCATCCGACTTCAGCTCAGGTCATGATCTCACGGTTCGTGGGTTCGAGCCCCACATTGGGCCCTGTGCTGACAGCTCGGAGCCTGGAGCCTGTTTCGGATTCTGTATCTCCCTCTCTCTCTGATCCTCCCCTGCTCATGCTGTCTCTCTCTCTCTCTCAGAAATAATAAAACATTTAAAAAATTAAAATATATATATACGTATATATATATACGTATATATATATATGTCCTGTTAACCTTTTATGGGTTTATTGTAGTTTTAAAAATAAATTCATAAATGTCTTTACATCTTTTTCAGTTTTGTTACATGGTAAATATTGATAGATCTGACCCACATAAAACAAAAGCTCTGTGATATTCTCAATAATTTTTAAGGCTATGAAGGGGTCTTGCGATCAAAGGGTTTTAACATCTGACCTGAGGATGGAAGGTGACAGTAGACTAGAAGGGCCCTAGGCTCACCTTCTTCCATGAATGTAAGTAGATAGCTATCAAATCATCCTAAATACACCAGAAATTGATCTGAATACTGACAGAATAAACTCCACACCAAACAGTAGAGAAGAAGCCACATCAAAGAGGGTAGGAAGTGTGAAGATGTACTTTGGGAGAGAGACAGATTGTGGCCACTGTGGTAAGGAAGGAGCCATGGTCATAGTGAAGGACAAGAGATAGACTGGCACACAGGGGAGCACATGGGGAAAATGAATCCCTATAGCAGTTGGCTTGGAAAGTAAGAGGGGCCGCATTTCACAAGTTCTTGCAACCAGGGGGGCTTAAAGGTCAGTGGGCTTGGCTGGGGTAGAGCCTGGACGGTACCGCACTGCTCTTGCAGAGAAGGGAGGCAAACACCCCACAGAAATATCGTGTGGAAATAGCAATCGAAAGAATACCCGTGCTCACAGTGGGGAGTTTATTCAGTCATCTCAGAGTGAGTCCTAGAGAGGTAGCATTCACAGAGAGAAACCTCAGGGAACAAAGGAATTGGCCAGTGTTGTTTCCTTCCCCTGACCCTCAGCATAAGCACAGGACCACTGTGGGAAGCAGAGCAGCACTGCCACTCACTACCTACCGTGTTTACGCCAAGCCTGTCCCCCCACACTCCAGTAGAACTGCCCATCTGAACCATGCTTGTCTCAGCACGGCCGACCCCTTCCCCCAAAAGACCAGCCTAAACCCCTGCTCACACTGTGTTACTCATCATGGGAATTTTGCAGCGCCTCAGTTCTGCCAAATAGTGTCAACAGATCTCATTTCTCAAACACACCAAAGCACACCTTGTTAAAACATGCCATGTTCAGGCCAGGGACCAAACAGCACCTACAGCAGGCAGAGACTCTGCAGATGACTGGCCTGAAGGATAAAGCAAGCAGGACAAAGCGGCAGAGCACATGTAGCGCACATTGGAGATACTTCCAGAAACCCACAGGCCCTGGGGAACAGATGATATTACATGGCAAGGCACTGCAGGACCTCTTCTTCATAAGACCTTTACCCTCAAGAATGGGAGACATAGCTGACTTTCCTGACACACAAATAGGCACAGAGACGTAGACAAAATGAGAAGACAGATTTATCCCAAATGAAAGAACAGGACAAGACCATGCCAGAGATCTAAGTGAAACAGATATAAGTAACATGCCTGAAAGAGAATTTAAAGCATTGGATCGTAAGGATGCTCACTGGACTCAAAAAGAGTAGAAGACATGAGTGAAACCCTTACACAGAGATGGGGAACAACACAGCAGACATAAAGGGCAAAATAAACAAAATGAGAAATATGCCTCATGAAATGAACAACAGACTGGAAGGAGAGAAACAAATTGAAAGCCCAAAAGACTGAGTAATAGGAAGTAATCACGCTGAACATAATAGGAAAAAAAAAGAATCATGCAAAACAAGAATAGAGTTAGGGAACTTAACGATTCCATTAAATGTAATAAAATTTGTTTTACAGAAGTCCCACAACAAGTAGAGAGACAAAGGGGTCAGAAAATTTATTTGAAGAAATAATAGCTGAAAACTTCCCTAATTTGGGGAAGAAAACAGATATCTATATCCAGGAGACATGGAGAACCCCCATCAAAATCAACAAAAGCAGACCCACACCAACACATACTGTAATTAAGTTAGCAAAATATGGTGATAAAGAAAAAAATGTTAAAGCAGCAAGACAAAAGAAGACTAACTTACCAGGGAAAACCCATAAGGCTGACAGAAGGTTTTTCATCAGAAACATTTCAAGCCAGAAGGGAGAGGTATGATATATTCAAAGTGCTGAATGGGAAAAATCTGCAACTGAGAATATTCTATCCAGCAAGGCTATCATTTAGAATAGAAGGAGAAATAAAAGAATTTCCCAGACGAAAACTAAAGGAGTTCCTGACCACTAAACCAGCCCTGCAAGAAATATTAAAGGGGACACTTTGAGTGGAAAAACCAAAAGTGACAGTATAAAGGTAGGAAACACAAATCAATAACAATATTTCTGTAAAAAAAAAAAAAAAGGAACTCACAAAATAAAAAAAATGTGAAATATAACAATATATTCCTAAAACATGGGGAGAAGAGTAAAGAATGTGTTCAAACTTTAACAACCATAGACTTAATATAGACTGCTGTATGCAGAAGAGGTTATATACACACCTAATGGTTACCACAAATCAAAAACCACTAATAAATATGTAAAGAATAAAGAGAAATCCAAACACATCACTAAGGAAAATCAGCAAACCATGAAAAAGAGAGACAGGAAAAGATCAGAGAAAATCTTCAGAAACAATCACAAAACAGATGATAAAATGACAATAAATAAATATCTATCAATAATTACTTTGAATGCAAATGGACTAAATGCTCCAATCAAAGATGAAGGGTGACAATGTTTTTAAAAAACCAACACTCATCTACATGTTGCCTACAAAAGAATCATTTCAGACCTAAATATAAGGATCAATACTTATATTGGACAAAAGATTTTTTTTTAATATTTTACATATTTTTGAGAGAGAGATAGAGACAGCATGAGCAGGGGAGGGTCAGAGAGAGAGGGAGACACAGAATTGAAGCAGGCTCCAGGCTCTGAGCTAGCTGTCAGCACAGAGCCCGATGCGGGACTTGAACCCACAAACCGTGAGATCATGACCCGAGCTGAAGTCGGACGTTTAATCGACTGAGCCACCCAGGCGTCCCCGGACAAAAGATTTTTTAAAATGACTGAGCCAGGGACCAAGAAGGACACTCTGTAATCATAAAGAGGACAAGCCAAAAAGAAAATACAATAATTGTAAGTATATGTACACCCAACACAGAACGCTGAAATACATAAAATAGTTAATAACAAACACAAAGGAACTAATTGATAATAATATATTAATAGTAAGGGACTTTAACACCTCACTTACATCAGCGGGCAAATCATGTAAACAGAGAATCAACTAGGAAACAATGGCTTTAAATGGCATATTGGGCCAGATAGACTTAACAGATATATTGGGAATGTTCCACCCTAAAACAGCACAATACATATTCTTTTCAAGTGCAAGCAGAACATTCTCCAAAATAGATCACGGATGGGGTCACAAAACCTCAATAAATTCAAGAAGATCAAAGTCAGAACATGCATCTTTTCTGATGACAACTCTTATGAAACTAGAAGTCAACCACAAGGAAAAATCTGGAAAAAGCACATATACATGGAGGTTAAATAACATGCTACTAAACAATGAGTGGGTCGACCAGGAAACTAAAGAAGAAATTTAAAAATACATGGAAATGGAAATGAAAAATAATCTGTAAAACCTCTGGGAGTCAGCAAAAGTGGTTCTAAGAGGGAAGAGTATAGTAATACAGGCCTACCTCAATAAGCAAGAAAAATCTCAAACAAACAATATAACTTTACACCTAAAGGAGCTAGAAAAAGCACAACAAACAAAACCTAAAGCCAGCAGAAAGAAGGAAAAAATAAAACTTAGAGCAGAAATAAATGTTATAGAAACTAAAAAAAAAAAAAAGAACAGATGAATGAGGAGAAATAAACACTAACACCACAGAAATACAAAAATTATAAGAGAATATTCTGAAACACTGCATGCCAACAAAATGTAAAACCTAGAAGAAATGTATAAATTCCTAGAAACATATAAATACCAAAACTGAAGCAGGAAGAAATAGAACATTTGAGCACACTGATAACCAGCAAAGAAATTAACTCAGTAATCAAAAACTCCCCCAAAACAAAAGTCCAGGACCAGATAGCTTCACAAGTGAATTCCACCAAACATTTAAATGGCCACTCTTCTCAAACTATTCATAAAAATAAAAAGGAAGGAGAACTTCCAAATTCATTCTATGAAGTCAGCGTTACCCTGATACCAAAACCAGATAAAGATACCATAAATAAAAGAAAACTACATGCAAAAACATTTCACAAAATATTAGCAAACCAAATCTGACAATACATTTTTTAAAAATTTATTCACTAAGTGGCACCTGGGTGGCTCAGTCAATGAAGCATCTGACTTTGGCTCAGGTCATAATCTCACATTTGTGAGTTTCAGACCCACATCAGGCTCTGTGCTGACAGCTCAGAGCCTGGAGCCTGCT